TAAGTAAATATCATTTAAACAAAGAGTGATTAGTGCGATTTATTTAGATTATATTAGCTATCTATTAATAAATAACATGTAAATACCTATCATGAACATGAAAATACATAATACAAATTTAATTGATAACGCCCAAGTCATACAAAAATTGTAAAACCTCTTGATCCTTTATATTGTCCACAACTAACCAGAATTTCAAATCATCTGCCAACATTAAGAATTGTTTATTCAAGAATCAATTTAGAATATCATTAACATAATGAATTATTCTGTTGTGATTTAAGTAACCATGGATTCTAGAAATTTTCTGAATGAATAACTCAGTTAAGTAAAACCGACAAGTGATCTTTTTGGTCAATAAAAGCTGTTATTTGTGTTTTAAGTCGGTCCGCGACATCGGTGACAATAATTTACCATTATTATTATAAAAGTGTGCAAATAATAACAACCAAAAAAGAGAACTTGTTATTGTGAAACCTAACCTTGGCGGCAATAATAATTTATTATGACTCATGTTCATGTTTATGTTTTTAGCAGCTCATATTGGCTATGAATATGCAGTAGAGTCTTCGTGACCGTGAACATACAATAGAAACATGTTCGTTTAGTATAATTTTCCTAATAATAAGTACAGGCAATATGCAGGTGGGGGTAGAAAAAATTAGAGACAAGCTACTATTTTTTTTTTAATATGTAGGAAAAAGGGTCTTGTTCAACATACTAAATGGGACTTTTAGTATGTTGATCCCAGCATGATAAATCTTTAAAAAAATCTGCCATCTTTAATTTTTTGTTTTTACTAAATAACTTTTTTATTAATGCATTTTGAAAAAAATGTGTAGTCTTTATTTACATGGTTTAAAAATGCGCATATTTTTGTAGCTTCAAAAATAAAAAAAGTTACACAATTTTAAATTGATAAGGTACCTTAAAAATATTAAAAAATTTTGATTTTCAAAGTGCTTGATTCACATATTTTATGTTTCAAAAACAAAAAAACTTCATTTGAAGTAATTGGTTGAACAACTTATAAAAACTCAATAATTTCCTCCTCTTCTATCTCGAATACAGCATTAGCACAAGTAATTCCATAGCAATGGCCACACTTTGGGGAACACTTAATCCCCAACTTTTTTACACGAACAATTTCGTCCACATGCACTCTCTTTGCAGTTACAAAAAATTTGATTAAGCAAATCGAGTGGCGCTATGTCTTGCTTCGTTTTGTTGGGAATTAGGTCACCATTGTCGCTTTTCATCCAACCCCATGCTGCAGGATCCAGGCGATTACCCAGCCATTCTTGAACCTTGAATATTTGAAATTTAAACTAAGTTATTCATTTTTACATACTTTTTACTGAGTTACTTGATAATAAACTCTCAGTGGGTAAATGTTGTTCTGCGGCTTTTTCTGTAGGAGGCAGCACGGCTAAATTTAACTGTCCTGATAGTACCTGCCTAGAAGCGATTCTATGGTACATGAAGTACCGAAGTTCATTTAGACTTGAGGTAGTTTTGGATTGTATAGCTTTAGTAGAAACTCTATACCAGCTCTCAAAATTTTTGGTTGTAAAGCATCTTCAGCATAAAATGAAGTAAGTGCTTCGAACAATTGTGGATTCTTCCTAAGAACAATCAGACATGCTATCTTACTTTTGTTGAAGAGAAACGACGTTGTGTCGCATCCGGATACAAAAGGTAGAGTAAATTAAAGTAAATATTTTTATAGTTAATATCTACTAAAATCCAATCTTCATATCCAAGATTTGCAGAGTAATTGATCAATTTTATCGATATTATACAGTGAGGACATAAAGTCCGTCGCCCCCCCCTCTAACTTTTGAACCTTTCGGTATATTGCAACGAAATTTGGAATGATATGTGAGCAAATTCTCCATTTTATGAAATGCAAATGACAGCTGGGCGGTGTTTTGAAACGTTTTTTTAAATAGAAGGCGGTGTCGAGTGATACATCGTTTTAAAGATCTCTTTATTCTCAATAGTAATATAACTAGTGCAATGGAAATTATTGATAATTTTTGGGAAATTTGCCCGAATGAATTTTTAGTTGAAAAAGAGCACGAGTGCACGTAGTGCACGAGTGCCTTTTCCGGTTAAAAACGCATGAGTGCAAATTTGTCGCAAATTATAAACATATTTCCATTGCACGAGTTGTATTTAATGAGAGAATTTCATAAATCAAAAATTTAAATTTTTTGTCAAAAAATGTCGAAACACCAGTTTTCGCACCAGGGGTTTATTTGAAACGTGCAATTCAAATACGTCTGACTAAGTCGCAATTGTTACCGGTGAAATACAAAAAAATGCACATGTGGCTTATTTGAAACTTCCGTCGACGCATTTCGCTAAATTCGTCGACGCAAGATTGCATTTGACATGCGTCACCTCTAGAGCTCGTGCATTTCCAAATCGCACGCGAAAGTTATTAAAAATTTAAGTTTAGTCGACCAAAAATATGCTTGGCCTCATGGAATTCGAAAATATTGTTAATTTAAATGCTCTAGAAAGGGCCGAATTGTATAACCATAACCGCAAAGGCTTCAGAAATCCAAGAATAGATGCATGCTTTAACAATGCTTAGGTAATGACGGGGAATTTATAAAAAACTTTCGACTTTAAAAAGAATGTTTCGAGATTCCTTCCATGAAAAGCAGTTCGAAAATTTTCCCGACAAAAGGGCCGGATATTTGTGCAAAAATTCGACCAAGAGTTCTTTTTGTTTTTTGGTAACAAATCCGGACCTTCTCTTATTGGCACTTGCCCCCGCACTTTCCATCCTTTTTGCAGTATTGCCTACATTTATAGAAAAAATAAACTAGGATAATATCAAGAAAAAAAACACAAAACTCCAACTAAACACGAAACTGTATGCACGGAAATAATCAAAAAAGTTGTTTACAATAAACAATTTCAAATTTGACATTTCAATGCATCGTTCCGTTTGGTCATATGAAATTTTCTAACAATGTCATTGGTTAGAATCTTTTACAGGACACGTTGCCAAGTTGAGTAGTGCAAATTTGAAAATTCACGATTTACAAAATGCACAAGCTTTCAAATAAGCCGATCGTGAATTTTCAGAATTCGTCGACGCACATATTTCGACCGACTGCGTCGCATGTGACAGATTTGCACGGATTTCAAATAAACCCCCCCAGTTAGTATGCAATTATCTGATAATTTGCACTAGTGCAAATTATCGCGTAATTACAATCTGATTGGTTCAAATCAACAATCAAAACATGTCAATTTATTGTTGGAATACCAGTTTTGAAAGATGTATGAAATTCTCAATTCAATTTCCGATTCTGAAAATATTTAGTTTAACGGTTTTCAAATGATGACGAAAAAACAAAGGTTGTTTTAATCAATTTCGCAACCTCTGCGCACTTAAAATTCAAATTAAATAAAATCATGGATAAGAGTTATTATCAAAAACCAAAATCAAATCCTAATTCTAATGCGCAAAAACTATAATATCTGACGCAATATCTATATCCTAAATAAAAATGACCAATTAATTAAAAGTGCTTGAAATTATATGGTTTAATATGTTTGTTATACCTATCGTTTGCCCTGTGTAATTTATAATGCTATACCAGAGACACGCGATGACACTGACATTGAAATAATTTTGAATTAAATTATTAGACTATCCAAAACACGTGGTACAAATATGGCCGACAAGAGGCACACAAACATTTGACACAAACACAAACCATAACGTCATTAGGTTATGTCATTAATGATCATAATCAAATACTCATTTTCTAATGTGTGCGTCTCAATTTTCGGCCGTTTCTACCCAATTACGGAATCCCTATTGTTTGGGCAAGATTGCTCTACCTTCATTTCACTTGGACACCTAGGACCTACCCTTAAAATGTGAAAATATTTATTTGTTGCAACTCCACCGTCCAGTGTTGTGCTATCCATTATTAATTATTTTCTCACCGGAAGTTTTCCCTCATTTTTTTTAATAGGAGGGGTGATAAGAATTTACCATCTTATTACCGGCCAATATCCGTACTGCCAACTTTGACTAAAATTTTAGAGTGGCTAATTAAGGTGGATGGTGAACTTCCTTGATAGAGATAAATTGCTTTCTCTGTCTCTGTTTCAGTAGTCAAAAAACATTGATGATACCATATTTCATCTCCTGGATGAGCTGTATTAGAAGATAAATAACGAAGAAGTGGCCGCAGTAGTTTTTTGTGACCTGAAAAAAACTTTCGATTGTGTCTAGGGGTTCAGTACTTCAGAGGGGTTGGATATCACTGCAGGAGTGCCCTAGGGATCTGTTTTATTTCTAACATTAATGAAAATACGAGTAAAAAGAACGAGTATCAAAACGCAAATGAACAATGAGCACTATTCACTTTTTTGAAAAAATTTCATCATGACACATTGAATGACAAATAAAAAAAGGGTTTGTGTGCCTCTTGGCGGCCATTTTAATTCAAGTTTGACAGCATCTTGGATAGTTCAATATGATGATGATTTTGTCCTTCCGTCTGACGAAATGATTTGACGCAGCGAAAACATATGCATTTTTAATAGAAGGATGTTGAATAAAATTTTGTTTCAAATTATAAAGAAAGCCTGAGATATATAATACCTTGTACTCTATGCAAATTGGCCTCGAAATTGCAAATCATTAAATTACCATAAAAATACTATAAAGATAAAAAATTTAATTGCTTTACAACGATACCTACATGGTTGAGTGATTATAATCTAGGTAAATGATTCTTGAGTTAATTTTCTTAGTTTCTAACATCTAGGGAATTAAGTACTTTTTAATTGGAAAATGATAGTAGTAACAACCAACCTATTGGGAATTTTATTTTTATATTGACAATAATTTTAATAGAAACAATTACAATTAAGTTGTAAAATTAAACCGGAGAAGACACAAAATGATGTTTTCTTGCATCTGTTTATTTAGTTTAAACATAAAATTTATTTTTTTGTTTTAGGGTTCATTAATAATGGACGAAGCCAAAGCAGACATGGGCACCGAGCACATCTCTGATGCTTCCGAGTCACTTTTTAGCACGTTTGATATTGTCCTCTTGGCCATCATCATTGGTGGCGTCAGCTGGTGGCTGCTCAAAAGGAACAACCGTCCTGTTAGCAGCCTTTCAAATGGCAAATCTTACACCATCCAGTAAGTATTATATTCATATAATAAACGGTTTAGTAGTAGATATATAGTATACATAAAGAATCCTAATAGAATGCTTTATCTTAAACTGAAACGGTGGCTTTCATCTACGTTAATTACCTTGCCCAAGAAACCTAAGGGAACAAAAGCCAATAACCCAGAGATCATTAAGTTCCAACCATTGAAAAATTGCTTGTCTGAGTCACAATTTAAAAAGCTACAATGCGAAATACACACTACAAAAACATAAGTTCATATATTGGTGTAAACTAATCAAATTTAGATGAGAAAAAGATATTACAACCAGCCTTAAACTGCGTTTCTTGATATACTTCATAGTCTTTTCATCTCTTATAAGGTTTTTTACTGATAGCTCATTTTTGGAATAATTTAGAGAATCTCTAGCGATTTTTATATCACATTGGCACGAAATTGGCAAAAGCAATATCCCAAATGTCGATTTGGTTTGTGTCATAGGAATTCTAGAGGGGATATATGTTTATTAAGAATTACTGCAGGAGTGAGAACTCGTACTGTTTGATTTCCTCCTTTGAAATACCCTCGAAGAGATTATGGACCTGAAGAACTCCCAATAACATTGCAAACAACAACAAAAGAAAAGCCATTTGCGAAGATATTTCTGTCCTAAACCAATTTGACAGCGACACCGATTACCGTTTGATCAGAGCAGCAATAATAAATCAACACCAGAAGCCAGAAGGGAAAGAAATGAACTAGTGATAAAACAACCCATTCCAACAAATGAAATGAGACACTACAAGAATAAACTCAATAGTGAGGAATTAGTGAACAGAACACATAACGGAAAAATCGAGGGAAAAATATGAACCGAGAGTCTGAAGATTATAGAGAAATAAAGAAGGAAATAAACAGAAATAACTTAAAAACGAACAAAACAAATTGGTTAGTACCTACCTAAGAAGCTATAAAGTCTAAAACTCCAAAAACCAAGGTGTCCACTACGAAAGAAAAGTGATAATGCGGGTTCGGAAGAGAAACCCGAAATCAAGGGGCAAACCACCTAGGAATTCTTTGCCAAAAATGTGGGAAATTTAGAGGAATTTGTGGGGAATTTGAAGGAACTCATCGGAATTTATGAGAATTTGGGGAATTTATAGGGAATGACGTCACTGAGGTTCACATTCTTATTATAAGAAACACTAATAAATGGAAATTTAAAAAAGAAATCTAGTTTTGTGTTGAACGTTGGATATTCATTTTCAATAAAGAAATTCTCCCAAAATTTCACTTCATGATTTACAGGTCCAAATTTAAAAAATTTAAAACAATAATATGTACAGTTTTTGGAAAATAATTTCCAAGATTCTTCGTGTTGTTATTTTCAACTGGAAAAATTTGAAATTTTTGGAAAATGAGTTTCTAACCTTCCTCTTCACATTTAAAAAGTTTCATATTTTTTCGTTCACTAGTTTTCCAGGAAAACTTTGAAATGTGTGAGACGATATTTTCAACTAATTCAGTTTTTGTAAGTTGATTTCCAAGATTCTTCATGTTATTTTCCGCTGGAAAAATTTGAAATTTTGGGAAAATGGGCTTCTTATCCGAGTTCTCATCTTTCTCTCCACGTGCAAAAAGTTTCAAATGTTTCCGTTCACTAGTTTTCCAGGAAAACTTTGAAATGTGTGAGACGCTATTTTCAACTAATTCAGTTTTTGTAAGTTGATTTTCAAGATTCTTCATGTTGTTATTTTCCACTGGAAAAATTTGAAATTTTGGGAAAATAAGCTCCTCACCTTCCTCTTCATTACTTACTAGTCTTTGAAATGTGTGAAGCTGTATTTTTAATCAATTCAGTTGTTGTAGGTTGATTTCCAATATTCCTCATGTTGTTATCTACTGGAAAAATTTGAAATTTTGGGAAAATGAGCCTTTAACCTTTCTACTCTTCACATGCAAAAAGTTTCAAATTTTTGCCTTCACTAGTTTGCCAGGAAAACTTTGAAATGTATGAGACTGTATTTTCAATTAATCCAGTTATTGGAGGTTGATTTCCAAGATTCTTTATGTTGTTATTTTCCATAGGAAAATTTTTGAAATTTTGGGAAAATGAGCCTCTGACCTTCCTCTTCACATGTGAAAAGTTTTAAAATTTTTCCTTAATCAGTTTTCCAGGAAAATGTTGAATTGTGTGAGACTGTATTAACAATTATTTCAATTTTTGTAAATTGATTTCCAAGATTGGTTATGTTGTTATTTTCCACTGGAAAAATTTGAAATTTTAGGAAAATGAGCTTCTCCCCTTCCTGTTTACATAAAAAAGTTTCAAAATTTTCCCTTCACTAGTTTTCCAGGAAAACTTGGAATTGGGTGAGACAGTATTTTTAATTAATTCAGTTATTGTAGGTTGATTTCCATGATTCTTCATGTTGTTATTTTCGACTGGAAAAATTTGAAATTTTGAGAAAATAAGCTCCTCGCTTTCTGCTTTACATGCAATAAGTTTCAAAATTTTTTCCTTCACTAGTTTTCCAGGAAAACTTTGAAATGTGTGAGACTGTATTTTCAATTAATTCAGTTGTTGTAGGTTGATTTCCAAGATTCTGTAAGTTGTTATTTTCTACTGGAAAAATTTGAAATTTTGGGAAAATAAGCCTCTGACCTTCCTCTTCACATGTAAAAAGCTTCCCTTGATTAGTTTTCCAGGAAAACTTTGAATTGTGTGATACTGTATTAACAATTATTTCAGTTTTTGTAAGTTGGTTTCCAAGATTGTTCATGTTGTTATTTTCCACTGAAAAAATTTGAAATTTTGGGAAAATGAGCTTCTCCCCTTCCTCTTTACATGCCAGAAGTTTCAAAATTTTCCCTTTACTAGTTTTCCGGGAAAACTTTGTACTGTGTGAGACAGTATTTTTAATTACATAATTCAGTTATTGTAAGTTGATTTCCAAGATTCTTCATGTTGTTATTTTTCACTGGAAAAATTTGAAATTTTGTAAGTTGATTTTCAAGAAATGAGCCTCTGACCTTTCTGTTCACATGTAAAAAGTTTTAAAATTTTCCCTTAATTAGTTTTCCAGGAAAACCTTGAATTGTGTGAGACTGTATTAACAATTATTTCTGTTTTTGTTAGTTAATTTCCAAGATTTTTTATGTTGTTATTTTCCACTGGAAAAATTTGAAATTTTGGGAAAATCGGCTTCTCCCCTTCCTCTTTATATGCAAAAAGTTTCAAAATTTTCCCTTCACCAGTTTTCAAGGTAAACTTTGAATTGTGTGAGGGTATTTTTAATTAATTCAGTTATTGTAGGTTGATTTCCAAGATTCTTCATGTGGTTATTTTCCACTGGAAAAATTTAAAATTCTGGAAAAATGAGCTTCTCACCTTCCTCTTTACATGCAAAAGGTTTCAAAATTTTCCCTTCACTAGTTTTTAGGAAAATTTTGGAATGTGTGAGACTGTATTTTCAACTAATTCAGTTTTTGTAGGTTGGTTTTAGAATTCATCATGTTGCTGTTTTCCACTGGAAAAATTAGAAATTTCGGGAAAATGAGCTTCTCCTCTTCCTCTTTCCTTGCAAAAAATTTCAAAATTTTTCCTCCACTATAGTTTTCCAGGAAAACTTTGAATTGTGTGAGACAGTATTTTTTATTAATTCAGTTATTGTAAGTTGATTTCTAAGATTCATGTTGTTATTTTCCACTGGAAAAATTTGAAATTTTGGGAAAATGAGCTTCTCACCTTCTTCTTTACATGCAAAAAGTGTCAAAATTTTCCCTTCGCTAGTATTCCAGGAAAACTTTGAAATGTGTGAGACTGTATTTTCAATTAGTTCAGTTTTTGTAGGTTGATTTCCAAGATTTTTTGTTGCTATTTTCCTCTGGAAAAAATTGAAATTACGGGAAAATGAGCCTCTAACCTTTCTCTTTACATACAAAAAACGTCAAATTTTTCCTTTCACTAGTTTTCCAGGAAAACTTTGAAATGTGTGAGACTGTACAGGGTGCTGCAATTTGGAGTGTTTAAACAGGAAAAACACACTTCCAGACCAAATAGAGGGAAATTGACTTAGGTGTCATGGGATTAATTTTCGAGAAACGTCGATTGCCAAAAACCGTATCACGATATCTTCAATGGTACCACTGATACAGGGCGATTTTCGATTTTCCCCTATTATGAAAAATAGCTATGTTTTTTATTTATCAATTTTTTTTATTTCTGTAAAAACATTATGGAGACACTTTTTTGAGCACAATCCAGTGGCGGACTTAGTTTTTTCCTATATCGCTCCAATTTCGAGATATCGACCAAAGTCCGATATTTTCAAATGAAATACCCTATATATTAATAGATCATTGGATAGCTTTGTTTTTGCTGATTTCAATGATATAAAGTTCGATAGGTTTATCTCTAACAGTTTTCGAGAAAAAAAATTATATCTGTTTTTGTCATAAGAAACAATGCGTTAGAAAGAGACCTTCCTCATTTTCGTTACACATATAAAATCCTTTTCTAACACATTGATCCTTACGACAAAAACAGATATAATTTTTTTTCTCAAAAACTGTTAGAGATAAACCTATCGAACTTTATATCATTGAAATCATCAAAAACAAAGCTATCCAATGAGCTTTTAATATAGAGGGTATTTCATTTGAAAATATCGGACTTTGGTCGATATCTCGAAATCGGAGCGATATAGAAAAAAACTGAGTCCGCCACTGGATTGTGCTAAAAAAAGTGTCTCCATAATGTTTTTACAGAAATAAAAAAAATTGATAAATGAAAAACTTATAGCTATTTTTCATAATAGATAAAAATCGAAAATCGCCCTGTATCGATGGTACCATTGAAGATATCGTGATACGGTTTTTGACAATTGACGTTTCACAAAAATCGATCCCATGACGTTTAAGTCAATTTTCCTCTATCTGGTCTGGAAGTGTGTTTTTCCTATTGAAACACTCCAAATTGCAGCACCCTGTATTTTCAATTAATTTAGGTATTCTAAGTTGATTCCCAAGATTCCTTATGTTGTTATTTTCTACTGGAAAAATTTTAATTGAATTGAATAATGGGATAATTGAAAGACATGATAAAAGTGAACATTTATCAGTTAGTTTTGACATTGTTTAACTTTAAAAGCGCATTGATTATGATTTCAGAAGAGGTACAAAATCTCCTTAAAAATGACCCTGAGATTCTGTGTGCAAAAGAACTCCAAGCTACTTGAAGTTGATACAAGTTTATCTGTATTCAAATCCGAGTATGTATCTAGCATCATATTATGGAAAAAAGGCTGAACATTGACAAAAGGGTTTACTTATTTCCAAATTATTGAAAAAGGAATTAGACACATCCATTTGCTGAGGTTCAGATTAAATTTATTGTTTATGGTCTTGAAAACTTGTTCAACTTTTACGAAAAGGTCCATTTAAAATAAAAAGAAACAATATACCTACCCTCAATATTGTGAAACAATATACATACCTTCCTAAGTTGTTTAAAAAGTATTATATTTGTTTTAATTTCCTAGAAAGGTTTTTTTTTATCAATTAGGTAGGTAATAATATCAAATGCGAGTTAGCGTTACTTTAAACCCCTGTATTCTGGATTAGGTACCGAAATCCAATCATTAGTTTTAGCTCTCAAGTCAACTAACGTAACCTTGCATTGGGTCCTATTCTCGATCCTACTTGATAAATTGCTCTTGTATTTTAACTAAACGAAAAATAAATAGAGAAAATAAATTTCTCATCACGAGCAATTATGGGGATTTTTAGGGGTATAACTAATTTAAGAGACATTTGTGGGATTTTTGGGAGGAATTTGGAGGAATTTGCAGGAATTTGGAGGAATTTGCAGGGAATTTAGAGGAATTTGTGGGGTATTTGGAGAAATTGGTGGTGGGGGTATTTGGAGGAATTTTGAGGAATAAGGCGTTAAAAATTCCCCTTTGAGGAATAATTGATTGCACAAATTCTGGGATGGTGGTTTACCCCTTGCCCGAAAAGGGAGACTCGAACAATACACACTCTTATTGAAAAACCACAGAATATAACCTTTCCATTGGGCTTTCGATGAACACCAGAAAACTCTATTAAATCACAGTCGGAAATATAAAAATAGAAACGAGATCCCTATAAAGAGAGGATAGACCGGTGGCCCAGCGTCAAATTACCCCCCTCATCGGGCACAAAATTTTCATTATAGGTAATCGAAACACTTTATCATTCGTAAACAAAAACCGCCCGTCTGCCATCGATGGGTGGTAGCCCGCTCTTGTGACCGCCCCCCAAATAAGGGAATTTTGATCAAAAACCCCCCCTTACGAGTACACAAATGAAATTTTCTGGGTATGTAGAGAATTATATTAGAAACCTAAAAACACGTGGCAGACGCCTTCCAGTGGTAGCCCGTCCAGGGCAGACGCCTTCCAGAGGTAGCCCGTTCAAGGCAGTCGACCTTAAAAAAAAATATATATGACGTTAAACTTCCCTTAAAAGTACAATCACAAAATTTTGTAGGCTTAAACACAGTCAGATTGGTGTGCTAAGAATGCATGGCAAACACCTTTAAGTGGTAGCCTGTCCAAGACAAAATTACGCTGAAGCGTTCCTTATAAAGACATTAAATAAAACTACAACATAAGAGGAACCAAAACACAAATTATGTATTATTCAAGAGTAGGTACTTAGCATTAATAATGATAAATAGGAGTTACAGATTATATAGGAACACGGTAGATTAATGACTCTCTCAGACCTTACTTCACTAGAGAGTCATTACGGGGAGAAGTCGATAATTTGTTGGAAAATTCGTAAAAATTAATGATGCTTTGTAGGGATTTTTTGAAGTTTAAGGATGATAGAGTTGACCCTTAAGCACAGTCAAGAATAGTTTTTGCAGTCAAGTTAAGTCTGGGAGGGTCACTACAGGTGGAAGTCGATAATTTGTAGGAAAATTCGTGAAAAATTAATGATGCTTTGTAGGGATTTTTGAAGTTTGAGGATGATAGAGTTGAACCTCAAACACAGTCCAGAATATTTTTTTCGGTCAAGTTA